TCTGACCTCCATACAGACACGGCTCTGAGGATCTGCTGCTCCTCCTTCCTGTTGCCGATGCCATTCTCGTCCTTCTCAGACTGCTCTGGGTTCTCCTCCTCCCCTCAGAGTGGAACCAAGTGTCACCTGTGGTTCCAGCCTATGGAGAGGTTTCCTGGACTGTCCCCATGTTAATCCCCCCACCCCAGCCTTCCAGCCTCTTTGGACGTGGATGGTGCATCACTGTCCTGGGGTGGGGAAAGAGGGGCCCAGAGACACCTTTCCAAGGCTGAAGGTAGCCAGGTACTGTTGAGAGGATGGAGACACATCTGGGCACTACTTCTGGTTCTCTAGACTAGAACAGTCCCCCCCGACTCCAGGCCCTGTGCTGCAGAATTTCTGAGGCTAACCTTGGAGGACAGGGCCCTTTGGGTGGTAGTCACCCTTGCTAAAGCATAATATTCAATATATTAGAAATACGATTCTCACATAAATTATTACTCAGGATGTGTTGAAGTTTTCTGTGACTTATTGATGGAAGAACCAGCAGGATGACAAGGCTGGTTCAAAGGCTAAGAGGGACTGATATAGACCATTGAGGAAAGAGTTGAGGAGAGAGGGAGGGAGGAAAAACAGATTATGTAAAAAATACTTGAATAAGATTGCCAAGTTATACACAAAACTAGTTAATGTCCATAGGACAATAAAATTGTAATCTTCAGAGCTCATTTCTCTACCAAGTAGAAGTTATTTATTTCTCCCAACAAAAATGATTTTGCACCTCATCAGTTTTCTGCAAATTAGTACCTAAATTAACAGTCTGGCCCCAATTAATAGTAAATATGAGTCAAAGTTTTTTCCCCTAGAGAATCAGCTAATTCTTAGGTGGCTTTGTTAACATAATAGTCTGGAAAAACACTGTGTAGTATGAATATGATATAAGCCATTATACATTTGTCATTTAAATTTTTCTAGTAGCCACATTTTAAAAAACAAAAAGAAACTATAAAATTAATTGTGATCATATATTTTATTTAACTCAAAATATCCAAAATATTATTTCAACATGTAGTCAATACCAAAAAGTTACTAATGAGATATTGTTATATTCCTTTTTTCCTGAATGTTTGAAATCCAGTGTGTATTTTACACTTATAGCACACCGCAATTCAGACTAACCACATCTCAAGTGCTCAGTGCCACTCAGGGCTGGTGGCGGCCGTATCGGATAGTGCAGCTCTAAAACAGTCATTCTCAAACCCTAGGGTGCATCAGAATTACCTGGAGGATTTATGAAAACACAGATGGCTAAGTCCCATCTCAAGAGTTTCTGATTCAGTGGGTCTCGGGTGGAGCCTGAGATTCTGCATTTCTGGCATGTTCCCGGTCGATGTTGATGCTGCTGGTCTGGGCACCACACTTTGAAAACCACTGTTCCAGGATGACTTGGAAAGAACTCCTGTCATTTTTTTGCCTTATTTCCAAGTCGTAGATGATTTTGCTTAACATTCCTGGTGGTGGAGCCACAGGCTGTCTGCAGTGTTAGCAACAGCTTGGCCTCTGACTGGATGGGTGCTGTCTGGACACAGCCTCAGCAACTACCAGATGGTGGTGGGTGAGACTTTGGCCTCTCCACCACTGATGGCATCAACTGTGTGCAGCTCTGAGCTAGAGGTTCAGGAAGAAAGAAAAGGGGGACTGGCCTCAGTACCCCCAACAGAGAGCCCAGGCCTTGTGTGGTTGCTTTTTATTCAATACTACTCTACAGATGATGCCAACCTGGGGTTCAGAAACTGAGATATCCCAGGAAATGTCTGCAAAGATGGAGTCACCATCAGAGTCTTGGGGTTCTCAGGGAGGGGTGGTCTCTGTAGCCTAAAAGGGCCAGAAGAGGTTGGCCAAACAGAGACTTGGAATTGGCATGAATCCAAAGGACAGATGCAACCTGTACAGGGAAGGGAGAGGGTGAGAGACCTGCCAGGCAAGGGTTATGGGAGACTTTGATGAGGGAGCCTCCCCGGAGAGAGCCAGGATCCTGCAGGAAGCAGCAGCCTGAGGCTTTGGGAGGCTGAAATGAAGGTGGGATCAGAAAGGACCTCAGCAAGCATCAATTGCTTCTGTCCTGGTTCATGGATGAGGAAGGATCCCAGAGATGTGAAAAGATTTACCCCAGGCCACACAGTGAGGCAGTACCTGGGAATTCTTCATCTCCAGCTGCATCCCAGAGTTCTGCAGGTTTGGGAGTGGGGTGGGGTGTCCAGGGCACATGTGTGGATGTAAGGGAAGTGTGTCCTATGCTTGTTGAGTCTTCAGTGATGTCCAAGGGCTAGCATTAATCCACTTTAGAGCAGAGACTGAGTCCTATCCAGTGTCTTGTCCTTCTCCTTCTAGCTCTGTGTAAAGGCCTGAGTGCATGGATATGGAATTTAAATGAAATGGTCTGCACCACATGTGACTAGGGTGTCTATACTCTATGTCATGTAAATGTGGGACATGTATGAGGTAACTACTGTGGGTATAGGGCTATACACCACAGGGCCCTCACGGGGTTTGGGAGTTATTACTATGGCATATAGGGTATCTATACTAGAGACTACCATTTGGGGGCCACATAAGCTGTCTGTGCTACAGGGTATCCTGTGGGGTATGCACTGTTCAGGGTCACAGGAGGTGACTGCACCTCAGAATTCTCTGTGGGGGTGTACAGAAGGTCTACACTACATGAAAGTACTCTTTGGGTGGTGTCCACCATGGATAAAAATGTGTGCTGGTGGAACGTCTCTATGGAAAGAGAACTAAAACGGATTCCCAGAAGGGGACCCATTGGGTGGGGGAACATGACAGGGGCTAAGGGGTCAGAGGTGGGGGATAAGGGGAGACACATCTCTGGGAAAGCGACTGCGGCCACCTTCCACTGAGGGGTGGCCCCTGGGGACACCTCCATCCAGGGGTGGTACCCACCCCTCCCAGGACTTGGGGACTTCCTCTTTCGGGACTAGGCTTTTAGAGCCTGTTACAAATCTGATTTCATGCTCATAGAGTTTGAAGGCAACTCTGCTGAGTTAAATGGATGTACACATCTGGAGTTCAAAACCAGGGGTCTGATCAACTGAGGCAGCTGACTGGAGTAGGTCAGCTCAAAGAGCAGCCCAGGACGCTATGCTTTGTACTGAGACCCCCACAGACTGTAGCCCAGAATACTATAGTTTGTAAAGAGCATCCCCAGATGCTTACAGAGTCCTGCAGGGGTGAAGGCAGATGACCGATAGTATCCTGAGTTTACTAATAGTACAAAACCAGAGTATTATCCATGGTTACCTCATGGAGAGTGGGCGGGGGAGTGTGGGTGGGGGAAGAGAAGGTCTCACCATCCCCATTAACTGCCTGAAAGAAGGATCAAGTTCTCATGTGTTTATCTAAAAAAACAGTCACATCATTGCATATACTGTGTTTTTTTCTAATTACTATATGTGCAAAAGAAGGTATCCACTGTGTATCTGTACAGTGTCTGACAGGTACATGTGTATATGATGACTATATGCTCTGTGTAGTATTTGCTATGTGTATAAGGAATATAGGGCTTTCCTGGTGGCTAAAAGGTAAAGAATTTGCCTGCAATGCAGGAGACTTGGGTTTGATCCCTGAGTGGGGAAGATCCCCTGGAAAAGGGCATGGCAACCCACTCCAGTATTCTTGCCTGGAGAATCCCCATGGACAGAGGAGCCTGGGAGGCTATCCACGGGGTTGCAAAGAGTCAGACACGACTGAGAGACTAAGCATATACATAAGGGATATAGAATGTGTGTGAGGGAGATCTGTTTGCTGGGGATGTAGTGGGACAGAGGGTCTGTTGTATGTGAGGGGAATCTGTTGGGAGGATGTGCTAGTGAAGAAGGAAGGGGGAATCTGCTACATGTGATGACAGTACAATGTCTGCAGTGACTATTCTGGGAAATCACAAACAACATAAAAATGGTGTACTAATGTATATACTCGTATTCTTTCAGTGCATATACAGTGTAGGATGAACATACACTGTGCATGATGATATAGACTGTATGTGATTAGCATACCATGTGTGCATCATGGGTCCAGGCTGATGTAGAGTACATATTATATATGCTTCTGTGAAGTGCAATAGGTCTACTTTATGTGTGATGGCTGTATCTTGTGAGTAGTAGTATATAAGGCATATACAGTGTGCGTGCATGCTAAGTCACTTCAGTCATGTCCGACTCTGCAACCATATGAACTGTAGCCCACAAGGCTCCTCTGTCCGTGGGATTCTCCAGACAAGGATAATGGGGTGGGGTACCGTTTCCTTCTCCAATATACAGTGTAGATATAGTATATTTACTGTTCATCATGAGTAAACATCTCCAGACTGATAGGTACACTTTGGGGGAAGGATACGCTATGTGATACAAATGCAGTATGTATGCGATGAGCATGTGCTGTGCTCATTCAGTCATGTCCGACCCTTTGTGACCCCATGGACTGTAGCCCAACAGGCTCCTCTGTCCACAGAATTCTCCAGGCAAGAATACTGGAGTGGGTTGCCATTTCCTTCTCCAGTGATGAGCATATACTATGACAAATATACATGGTATGGGATAAGTTTACAGGTAAATGGGAGGACCTACTACATATGGAGTATATAATAATTCATGAGTACTAGGTTTATATAGTGTATATATAATGGATGTCCTCTCTAGGATGAATAGACTGTGTATAGATGTGATGAGTATATACTTTGTGAGATAATTAAGCACTATGTAATCTACAGACTGTGGCGGTGGGGATTTTCTGGCCAGTGAAGTCGTTGTTGGGACAGGTCTCCTGGATGTGTGACATGTACCCTGTGCATATGGAGCTTAGAATGGGAATGTAGGGTGTGAGCCTTGTGTGAGCAGGCAGAGGGGAAGTTGCCTTGCTGGGAGGCGGCGTGGCAGAAAGCAGTTGCATCTCCATCTGTTTTTAGAACCCCCAGACCCTTGAGCCCACCCACCACACTGTTTCAGGTTCTTCCTCAAGTTCTTCCTCAAATGCAACCAGAATTGCCTAAAGAACGCGGGGAATCCCCGAGACATGCGCCGCTTCCAGGTGGGTCTGAGGAGAGGGTTCTCCCCCTGCAAACATGACCTTTCCTGCTGGGAGGGGGGGTGGCGGGCATGATGTGACCCTGCCACCCTAAGGCCCCAGGGGCAGTTCTCTGCACAGACCCATGTTTTGGAGCCTGGCGCCTGCTGGGGGTGGGGCAACTCTGTCTCCACTTACTCTGGCTGCCAAGGGAGGCTTCATTAGAGTCCCACTTAAGGAGATGCTAATTGTGACATTTTTACATGATTAACGACCCAGCTAATTTGCATAGTGTGAAGCAGAGAGCAGCTGCCCTTAGCACTTCCCCAACCGCACACCCCTCCCAGTGAAGGGTAGGGGGGAGAAGGAGGTAGCCCCAATTTCCTCCCAAGGGTAGGGGCTTCTCCTGACGGGTTCTCAAGCTGATGCCCCCCTCCCCCATGAAAAATGTTCGCACGCACTTGCCTAAGACCCATTCCTGACTTGGCACCCCAGGGATACAGCCTGTGGTGCATGTGAGTGCAGAAACAGTAGCCACTCTGCCCAAGGAGTCAGAGGTTTTTTTTCAGGGCTTTTGATTGTTCTAGCTCCTGGGGGTCCATTCCCCTGGGCAGCCAGAGATTGTGTATCTGAGAGGGTCACCTGATCTAGTTGGTCCCCCTTCCACCAGCTCAGCCCCAGAGGGGCTGAAGCTCTTCCCCATGCCAGTGACTCTGAACTACAGTTACAGTATCCAGCCACCAGCCTCAAGTTGCCAGTGCCCCCCAGCAGTCCCTCACCCGGAGCCCCAGCCAGGCTGGCCTCGGCTCTTCCCACAGGTGGTGGTGTCCACAACAGTGAGCGTGGACGGACACGTGCTGGCTGTGTCAGACAACATGTTTGTGCACAACAACTCCAAGCATGGCCGCAGGGCACGCCGCCTGGACCCCTCAGAAGGTCAGGACCCCCCGGCCCACACCCCGCTGCCGCGGGCCCAGCCAGCCCCAGTCCCCACCTTGACGTGGGCCCCTGACCTGGCTCCTCTCCTGCCTCCCAGCTGCCACCCCCTGCATCAAGGCCATCAGTCCTGGGGAGGGCTGGACCACAGGCGGCGCCACCGTCATTGTCATCGGCGACAACTTCTTCGATGGGTTACAGGTCGTGTTTGGGAACGTGCTCGTGTGGAGTGAGGTGGGCCACTCCCGCCAGTCTCCCTCCCAGCCTGGGGCTGGACCCTGCCCTCACCGGGTCAGAACCCGCAGGCCTCCCTTCTCCCCTCGCAGCTCATCACGCCCCATGCCATACGGGTACAGACGCCCCCACGGCACATCCCCGGGGTGGTGGAGGTGACCCTGTCCTACAAATCCAAGCAATTTTGCAAGGGAGCCCCGGGACGCTTTGTCTACACAGGTAAGGAATCAGGTGGGTGAGGGGAGGCCCAGGGTTGCGGGAAGGAGCCCCACATCACACACACTAGCCCTGGTATGGGAGTTGGCAAATCGCTGTGGTATGGCCAGGCGGCCAGACCCCCTAAGCCCCTGCTGGTGCTCACCCCACACCCCAGGACACCTCCTCTCTGGACCTTCTTTCCCTCACTTCTGTTTCCCTCCCTGAGAACAACTCCCAGAGCAACTCCCCGCACCCACTTCACCTTCTTCTAGACACTCCCCAGTGTCTAGAACATCTCCACGGGGAGATTTATTTCCAAGATGCCCCCAAATAGGGAGAATGGCTACATGTAAATGTATGGCTGAGTCCCTTTGCCGTCCACCTGAAACTATCACAACATTGTTAATTGGCTATACTGCAATACAAAATAAAAAGTTAAAAAAAAAAAAAAGATGCCCCCAGATAACTTGCTGATTCCCAAATCTTCCTGGTCCTCCTGGTTCCCCCAAGCCACCCCAGGCTTCATTCTGCATGCATACAAACGCACACACATACCTTGCACGAAGCCAGGGCAAAAAGTTAGCAGAAGACAGGTGTGTAGGCCACTCCTGAAGATGTGGCTTCATACCCCTTCCTGACTCTATCTGACCCCTGGCCAGTATGTTTTCCACTGCCACCTTCCAGCACCTCTCCCCATTCCCCCACCCCACCCAAGAGATATTCACTGAGCCCTTCAAGGGACACCCTACTGCTTACTGGGGAGCTCCAGTGTAGGAGTGAGAGGGGACAAGCCGGGAACAGCACATGGGGTGGTAGAGTTACACAGTGGAGGAGCTGCTGGATTCTCAGAGAAAACCTCCAGGTGGGAGTGTGGTCAAAACTGCTCAGCTGGAACCAGAGGGGTGAATAAGGAGGTAGAGACCAGGAGGAAAAGGTGTCCCAGGAGAAGGAATGGCAAGTAGGAAGACCCTTGAAAGAGTGCCTTAAGTTGGGCTTCCCCGCTGGCTCAGCGGTAAAGAATCTATCTGCCAATACAGGAGACGTGGGTTCTATCCCGGGGTCAGGAAGATCCCCTGGAGAAGGAAATGGCAACCCACTCCAGTATTCTTGCCTGGGAAATCCCACCGACAGAGAAGCCTGATGAGCTACAGCCCATGGGCTCGCAAAACTTTAGCAACTAAACAACATCAAAAAAGGAAATTCATTAAATGTAGAGTTTGAAGTGGAAAAGGTAGGTAGGGCTTTAAGGCTGGTGAGATAGGTCGCTGCCAGACCGCAGGAGGGGAGAGGGGAAGGAAGAGGCCTTAGAAACCTGGTCAGGAGGCTGCAGCATCCACCCCAGAGCCCTGGGTGTAAGTAGGCCAGCCCATTCCTGGGGCACAGGCGTACCCCTAACGGTCAGGCGCCGGTAAGAATCCACCAGAGCTGTGATAAATGGAGATTGTTGCGCGTTTTTTCTCTTTTTATGATAAATAGTTTACTCCTTATAAGCTCAGACAAAAGCTGCAGACAAAACTCTCCAGTCCCGTCCCTAGGAGTACTGAAGTTAATATTTATAGTTGTCTTTTTTCAAATCACAAATGGGATCCTGTAGTGCACGTGTGTTAATGGCAAGCAGCTGGCACAGGGCCTGGCTCAGTAAACATTTGTTGAATCAATGAGCACGAAAGGAACTGAGGAAATTTCCCGAACCTTGCTGACCCACGTGCCTGGAGTTTTCCCAAAGGCCTGGGCTGGGCTTGGAGGAGGGGGTCTGCATCCAGACTCGGGACGCCTGCGGGGAGGGGCGTCCTGCAAACGCCGCCCCTTTCCCCAGCCCTGAATGAGCCCACCATTGACTACGGATTCCAGAGGCTGCAGAAAGTCATTCCCAGACATCCCGGAGACCCCGAGAGGCTGCCCAAGGTACTCAGAAGAGCGAGACGGGGAAGACGGTGGCCGGTGGCTGGAGGGGGGATGGGGAGGGAAGCGGTAGCTCCGGGCCCCCTGCACCACCGCCACCCCCGCCCGGGGCCGCCCCTCCGTCCGCCCTCTCCTCCCCTGCCCCCCAGGAAGTGTTGCTGAAGCGGGCGGCCGATTTGGCGGAGGCCCTGTACGGAGTGCCCAGCGGCAACCAGGTATGGCGCCTCCGCCCGCCTCCCCGCGCGGGGCCCGGGGCTGCCCGCCTCCCGGCTCCCGCTGCTGCCCCGGCCGTGCCGGCTCTTGTCTTCGCAGGAGCTCCTCCTGAAGCGCGCGGCGGACGTGGCTGAGGCTCTGTACAGCGCCCCCCGCGCGCCGGCGCCGCTCGGACCCCTGGCGCCCAGCCACCCGCACCCTGCCGTCGTGGGCATCAACGCCTTCAGCAGCCCGCTGGCCATCGCCGTCGGGGACGCCACGCCTGGCCCGGAGCCAGGTGCGTCCGCCGCCGCCGCCCGGAGGCCCCTTCCCTGAGGGCGCGCGCCACTGACGGCCGCTCTCCCGCAGGGTATGCGCGCAGCTGTGGCAGCGCGTCCCCGCGCGGGTTCGCGCCCAGCCCCGGCTCACAGCAGAGCGGCTACGGCGGCAGCCTCGGAGCAGGCCTCGGCGGCTACGGGGCCCCGGGCGTGACCGGCCTCGGTGTGCCCGGGTCCCCCAGCTTCCTCAATGGCTCCACGGCCACCTCACCCTTCGCCAGTGAGTGTCCCCTGCCCGGGGGGTGGGGGGAACGGACCAGACACCGGGGAGCAGAATGGGGCTCAGCTCGGCCCGCTCCTAGCCTATGGGGTTGGGAGGAACTCGCGTTGACCCTTGGCCTTGCCCTCCTGTGTGTTACCTCGCTCTGCCTTTGGAGACCCACCCCGCCACCCTGGGGCCAGGGCACTTATCGCACCTTTATCTCTTTGCTGACCGCAGTTGTGCACATCGCTTCTAGCTTTTCCCTCCTGCTGAAATGAGCTTTAACACGAGGGTTTCTTCCTTAAATCTAGTGGACCGCCCGCCTTCCCTTTGTATGCCAGGGTTTCAGGATGAGGGCTGGTGCCCCCTGCCGGAAGCCTGAGGGAACTCGGGGCGCAAGAAAAGTAGGTGTCCACCTGGCCCCACGGCCCCCAGGAGACGCGGGGGCTTGAGGAGGGAAGATGTGGCTCCCACAATCTGGTTGTGCAGAGCAAGAAAATTCTGTGTAGTCAGACACCTAGATTCAGCATTTGATTGTTGAAATGAGGAGCTGACATTCAGCAAGTTACTTCAGTTTTCTCTGTAAAACAGGATCAGTATCCCCTGTTGCTTAAGGTTGTTCTCAGACCTGAATGTGCAAGTGTGCATAAAGGGCTCGGACACAATTCAGAAAGTGTGTGACTTTGCATCCCAGCACTAGCTGTGGGCACTAACCATCTTCTGTATGGTTTCTTTTTTTTTTTTTCTGTATGGTTTCTTAGGGTGGGCAGCTCAGAGCTGGGTAGATGAGCAGAGGGCATTTATGCTTTTACCATGCATGGCCCTCAAGTCCCTCCTTCAAACACTTAAGTTCCAGAAGAGCCTGTCTACAGGTTCCTATAGCTTAGCTGTTCAGCAGACATGTATGAAGCACTTACTCTGTAAAGAACCTGGCTTCGGGGATAGCTCCACCCTTGCCCACCTTCTAGGAGCTTACCCAGCAATTGTGAGAGAGCACGCACCTTGATTCCTGGGAGACACTGCTGTGCCAGAGGAATGGGAAAGCCGGCCAAGAAGGAGCTGGTTGTGTGGCTTTTCCTGCCTTTCCTTAGCCTATCCCCTGTCTTCTGTTTGCTATTGCTGAAGACCAACAAATCTGGCACCTGCCTAGACTTCCTTGCCATGGCCTACATTCTAGATAGTTCTCTTTTTGGCTGTGAGTTGGATTCTGGGTCTCTGCCTTTGGCCTGGGCTCGGTGTCTGGGACCAGAAGCCCCCTGTGCTCGTGTCCACACAAACCATGACCCTCTGGTGTCCCCACCAAGACTCCTGTCTCCTCTTTGCTCTAGCTAGGCTCCAGTGCTCCAACTTTGCTCCAGTTCTGCATAGTACTCTTACCACCTGTCTCAGGGGTCCCCCCAGATCAAAGCTGGTGAAATTTGGAACACCAGCCCGCCTTATCCATCACACACGCAGTACAATCAGTCGGCAGTGGGGGCCCCCAGAGGGCCAAAGCCAACTGCCTGGAGTCTTCCCATTCAGCCAAGAGGTCAAGAATGCCATAGCTGCTTGTGCCCTACTCCAGCATCACAGCCCCACTCCAGTCCAATCTAGTAGTGTCCTTTCCAGTCCCCATCACTCCCCTTGTGCATGCTTTGTGGTGGCACTCCAGTGGGTATCATTCTCAGTGAGTTTGCCAGGGCATGCCTGTAATGACATCTGGAACTGTCCCTGCCAGAGGCTGCCTGCTTAGAGCTCTTCTCTGCCTTCTGCTTCAGCCACCAGGAGCTCTGGACTGACCCACAACTCCCAGTACTACCCAAGCTGCAAAATGCAGCTGTGAGCTCTGGGCCTTGAAAGATATAGTACATTTCTGCCATTCATCTCAAGCCCTCCATGGAGTTCCATGGGCCTCATTAGCTAACAGTCAGCATTGTCTTAAAGGAGATGATCCACAGGCTGAGCACATTTGGAATAGGGACAAGGGACGCTGTTGAAGGCATCACTGTTCCAAAGTGGGGGGCGGGGGATGGGGATGAGAGTGTGTTCTAAATGCCAAAAGCAGTTTTCTCATGCTACTGGTTTCTTTCAGGAAACCCCCACCCTCACCCCATTGCCCGCTGCTTGAACAACACTCAAATCACAGTCCTGTTGGTGTTTGGGAGAGAGGCGGGGAATTGAGTTCAGATGAGGATGTAGAAAGAGGGATCCAGAAATGACCTGGGCAGGAGCCCCCAAGAGAGGACACTGCAAGAAGGAGGGGCAGGCAAAGGCTTGTGTGGGAGGCTCCCTGGTTATTCCCAGGAGAGCAAGCCACAGCCATGGAGGTCAGGGGGTTAGAGAACAGGACGACCTGAGCATGTGGATTTTTGTACATTTCCTTAAAATTGACGAGCTGGAAGGAGATAGAGGAGGCCTCTAGGACCAGGGCTGAAGATGATGAGGACTGGCATTAAGCTGGAAGAGAACAAAGTGTTGGGGGTCAAGGGGCGTGTAATTGGTAAGGGGAACATATTTGTGGGGGGGAGTTAGGGTTCTTGTGTGAGCTGTGATTCTGGACAGAGGGGCCTTATGTGTACCCCCCAAACTTCATTCTGACTACCTGCCCCAGCTCTGCTATGAACCCTGACCTTTGACTCTAACCTTGATGCCCCAGGGCCCATCAGTATTTCTGAGTGTCCCAGAATCCCAGTGATTTTCAGCAGGAATCTTAACTTGTTCCATCTCATCTTCATTCCTATCTTTACGGACACCTCTCCATATTTGTTTTCATTGGATGTTCTGATTTTGCTTTCTTTCTTTTTTTTTTTTTTTAACCTCCTCTGGTCTTATCATCTCCAACCCTAAGAGAAAGGGTCTCTAGATCCCCCCTGCCCCAACAGCAAGTGCTAGCCCATAACCCTAGAGGCTCTCAGGCTGCCTCCAGACTCTACACTGTACTGGTCCCCCCAGAACCTTCACAGCCTCCCACTGAGGGCTGAGCCTGGCACCCAGTTCAGCAGCCCGCTCAGGGCATACTGCTCGTGCCAGGACAGCAACCAGGCTGCTCACTCTGGTGCTGTCTCCCTGTTGTGTCTCCCACTGCCTTCCCTGCTGCGCCTGCCCCTCCCCGCCCCGCCCCGGAGTCATGCCCTCTAGCCCCCCGCTGGCCTCTGCCTCCTCCATGTCCCTCCCGGCGGCTGCCCCTACCACCAGCGTCTTCTCCTTCTCGCCTGTCCACATGATCTCCGCTGTCAAGCAGAGGAGCGCTTTTGCCCCCGTGTTGCGCCCGTCCAGCTCTCCACCCCAGGCCTGCCCCAGAACCCACGGAGAGGGGCTTCCAGGTGAGTGCTGTGCTGCCTCGCTGGGACCTACCTGGTGGAGCAGCTGGGCTTGCGGGGCCCACTCCATCCATATCTCACAAGAGCTTCAGGCCAGTTGCCCAGTTCCCCCTGGGGGGTGCAGAGAAGGAAGCTCTGCAGGGGTCCAAGGAGGCCTATCTGGACCCTCTTCCCTGGGCTTCATAGCTTGGGATGGTCTCACTCTGGACCATCAAGAAGACTCAGATACTAGTCGGAAAAGGTCTGGAAACCACTCCAAGGCCTCATCCAGTTGAGCCCAGAGTGGAGACCCAACACACAGCTGGAGGAACCCTACCGTGGACCGCGTGCCTTTGACCTGTACCTCCCTGTGTCCACCGGAGGGTAGCATACACCATCATGAGAGACCTGGTCCCTCACTGAACGGAAGGAAGCTGACCTTAGATTAAGTTCAGCCTAGCTTCGCCCTCCCCATTTTATAGATGGGGAATTGAGACCAGGTCACCCCTCCCACTAGTCCATTAGTGAAATAATTTACATACCATTTATCAATCTCTTCCAAGTCAACATCCAACTTAACAAAACCTGGGCTCTAACCAGTAATGTATATAGCAAGTCAAAAAGAGTTGCATCCCCTCAAATAAGATGACTCTTGGGGTGGGCTTGTTAGATGATGCTCTAGGATAATTTGAGGTAGAACAGGGTCATATTTGGCCTTGTTTCCAATTTTTGGATAATTTTTCTTAAGTGTGTTTGAAGCTTAAAATGCAGGGAATAGGAAGGACAGAGGACCACCAGTTTCTCTTGCAGCAAACCACAGCGAGGGGTTTAGGCAGAGGCAAGAGTGATGGAAGGGGTGGATTTCGTGGGATGCGGGAGGAAGACTTGCTGCATCACTGCATTAGGTATCAGGTACTTCTGGAGGCTGCCCTCTGTCCTTTCCCATCCTGATACATGGCCGTCCGCTTCCTCACCTTAAGAGAGGCCCTCTGAAGGAGACATGCTGGGAAGAAGAAGGCGACCTCCAGAGTCATCTTTCTTGACTAAAGAAACTAGGGGAGCAAGGGCTTGAGGTTGCACCTCCTAAGAGGTCTGGGGGACACACCTCACCTAACTGCAGTGCTGGGCCCAGGCTAGGAGTGGGGGCGGCTGACTACCTTCAAGGCTCTTGATAGCTCTGCCCTCAAAAAGTGCTGCTGCTTCCAGTCAAGAGGGGTCCAGGCTACACATGGCTTATGGTTTCCCTCCTTGGTTACTGTAGACCAGCCTTTTGAAGATTCTGACAAGTTTCACTCTCCAGCTCGGGGACTTCAAGGCCTGGCGTACTCCTAATTACGGTAGGTCTCTGGCTGGATCTTGCCTTCCCTCCCCGCGCCGGCCCTTGGATGGGCTTCCTCCAAAAGACTTTAGCAGGGATGGGGAGTTGAGGTCCAGGGCTCCCTCCCCAGGGCCCATCTAGTCAGTTGTCAGGACCACAAAACCCAGTGGCCCAGGCTAAACAAGAAGAGAGAAGTGGCTTCCTGTCGCCTTGTGGCCAGCCTTCCTCCAGGATCTTCGTCTTTTCCTTTTCCCACCAGGTCTACAGGTGTTGCCCCCACTGAGCTCGGACTAGTGGTCCCTCCAGGATTCACACCCATGCTGTGGATGACAGCACAGACAGATGCAGGGCCAGGGCTGCAGGCAGACCTCAACCCACAACCCTGAACGGGGAGAGGCCTTGCTCCCTGTGTTCAAGGGCACTTCAGTCCTACAGGCTTCTCTCACCTCCCTTTTCTTGGGGCTTGTTGGAAGCCCCAGCACTGTGCTGATGCTCTTGTTAGGAGAGCGTCCTAGGGAGGTGCTGGGATGCTTGACCTCACTCGCTGGGTCAGTTCGTCTGAAAGAGATGGTCTTTGTACAGAGCAAGGACATCTGGTGGTACGAGCAGGGACAGGGACTGTGGGAAAGAGCTCAGAGAGGTGACCTGGGAAGGTCCTGTTTGCGTCTGACCATCTCAACCATCCCAGCATCCCAGTTCTCTCTGGGGCAAGGGGTAGTGCCCAGCAGCCTGCCTAGGCTCCCATGGAGCTTCTGACAGCTACTTGATCCCATGGCTGCCCCACTCCTTGGGTCCTGCTCACTCATTCTTGCCACATCATGAATCCCAGAGGGGGCTTTGGGCATGAAGAACACAGAAGAGGAGGCGCTAGGCCCCCTGGATTGGTTGATCTTGCCCTCAATGAATGTCTCATGGACTCTGACCCTCCACACAGATGACTCTAGCTGGCCTCATATTCTGCTGAGGTTGGAAAAAAAAACAATAAACACAAATGCAGCTAGTCACCTTGCCTCTCTTGTCTACTTCCTTGGCATGGGTCTGCTTTGCAGCTATAAAATGCCCCTGAGAAGCCTTCTTATACCTTGGACTTTTTCAATAGCATTGGAGTTCAACTGAGCAAGTATTCCCTGCCCCATATATGCTCTCAGGTACTGTGTAGGGGGGCTCTGGAGGGGTGGGAAGCCAGCAGGCCTGAAGACCCAGGACATGGGCTCAGCCCTGACTGCACTGACTGGGAACACATTCTGGGCACTGAGGAACCAGTCCCCCGGCTGTCTAACCAGGACCAAAGCGGGTTGGAGCAGGGATTGTCAGAAGGACATTGCTGGGAACCAGAACAGAGCAAACTAAATACTACCCCAATGTACAGAGGCTTGGAAGTGAAATCCTTCCTGACTGGAGGCCTCTGGGTGGGGAAATTTGGCTCATAACAACCCTAATCTCTTCCCTTCTCCCCAGGTCTAGGCACTTGCCAGCTCTCCTGTCCCAGAGTTTGGGAAGAGAGGTGGTTAGAAAGACAAGATTCCCAGGCTCACTCACCCAACTCATAGGATGGATCCCAGTTATCCCCCTCCAGTGTTCCCTAGACCCCAAAGGTCTGCCTCTATGACACTGGGAGCCACGTTTTTGAGGCACTGTCCAGAGAGCCCAGGGTCCAGCTCCAGGCTTCAGGCTTCCTTCTCTCTCCCACCAGCACTCCTTGACTCTGGCCTCTGGAAACCCTGTCTTTCCCCAGTCAAGAAGCCCGCACCCTGCAGGCCTCTGGACAGATACACTTGCCAAGGCAGATGGGTTGGCCTGTCCTTCAGAGGCCTCCACTTTCTTATCTTGTGTTCCTGCCAGTCCCTGGGATTCATCTCACCTGGGCCCAAGATGGGGTAGCCTTGGGTCATCCTGCCTTCTTAGTACTTGCCTGGCCTCCCCTCAGTTCCTACCTTCAGCCTGTGTTTCCGAGCCCCAAAGCCTGGCAGCCACACCCTGTCCCATACAGTCCAGGGCCCTCCTAAGCTGATTACCTGCTACATGCTGATCTTACGAGATACAGGTTATTATTGAGTAGTGGTAGCTCTGATTCCTGGAATGGGTCAGGTGCTGTGGCTGATGTAAAGAAGATGTGGTGTTTGTCCTCATAGATCTCACAACTGTGTTCAAGCCACATTTTGAGTCTATGCTGCCCACACCTGGGAATTCCTTGGGGGTCAAGTGGTTAGGACCCTGCGCTTCCTCCACTGCTGGGGGTCCAGTTTCAGGAAATTGAGATCCCACAAGCTGCTCAGTGCAGCCAGTCAATCAGTAAAAACACTTCCCACTCCCTCATTCATAGCAGGCAGAGCCAATCACTTATGATGTTTGCTCTAGTCTGAATTGTGTCCTCTCAAAATTCATACATGGAGCCCAAACCCCTCCGCCTTTGTGGCTGTATTTGGAGATAGGACCTTTAAGCAGGTGATTAAGGTTACATGAGGTCATAAGAATGGGACCCTAATCTGATGAAACTGGTGACCTTGTGTGAAGAGGAAGAGACTCCAGAGCTCTCTCCACTATGTGAGGACACAGCGAGGAGGCGGCCACCCACAAGTCAGGAGGAGTCCTCACCAGGAATCCAATCGGCTTGTACCTTGAGCTGGATCTGGGACTTCTAACTTCCAGATCCATGAGAAAATAAATTTCTTTGTTTAAGCTACCTAGTCTATGGTATTTTTTCCTGGCAGCCTAGGCTGACTGACACAATTTTCTTTCTCATGTATCTTGGTTTTGGTACCCCTATAGCCAGAACCTGGGACAGGTTCCCTGCTGGAGAACTCTGGAAGACAGTGTAGAACACATCTGAGTTTTCTCACCCAAAGGGCAGAGGATCTGGGATATTGATCCTCCAGCCCTCATCTGTCACTGCCTAGAGGCTGCTGCCAGGAGATTAACTCTCTGACACCTCTGCCCTGCTTGTCCCTCTTGCAGAGAAAAAGCCACCGGGAGGCTTTGTTGTAGGATGTTGTAAACATATTCTGAAACAGTGAGTCTGAGGGGACTCACTGTCTGATGGACATGTAGAACCAACAGTTCTACTATTCCACAGAACCACCAGGGTCACAAAATCCTTTTTAATACAGTCTCTAGTCAGGGCTGTCACTTGAGATGAAAACTATTAACCATATCTGGCAAATAATCACACCAAGCTTTTTTGTAGCTGATAAATTAGTGAGTGAGGGAAACTGGACAATGAGTCATGGGTCAATACAGGACAAGCCTGCAAGCAAGTCTGGGTCTGTAGCACTTCCAGCAAAGCAACAAAGGCATTTTTTCCGGGTCTCACAGTCAGAACACGTCTCTGGACTTCCAGCATTCTCTAATTGAAAGGTCCTCCATTCTCCATAGCTCCAGCCATCCTGTTGTTCACTTGCTCAGACGTGCCTAACTCTACAATCTCTTGGACTGCAGCATGCCAGGCTTCCCTGTCCTTCACTATCTCCCAGAGTTTGCTCAAACTCATGTCCATCAAGACAGTGATCCCATCCAACCATCTCATCCTCTGTCTTCCCCTTCTCCCGCCTTCAATCTTTCCCAGCATCAGGGTCTTTTCAAATAAGTCAGTTTGTTGCATCAGGTGGCCAAAGTATTGGAGTTTCAGCTTCAGCATCAGTCCTTCCAATGAATATTCAGGACTGATTTCCTTGAGGATTGACTGATTGGATCTCCTTGCAATCCAAGGGACTCTCCAGAGTCTTCTCCAACACCACAATTGAAAAGCATCAATTTTTCAGCGCTCAGCCTTCTTGATAGTCCAAATTGCACATCTGTACATGGCTCCTGGGAAAGCCATATCTTTCACATAAGGACCATTGTCAACAAAGTGATGTCTCTGCTTTTTAAAATGCTGCCTAAATTTGTCATAGCTTTTCTTCCAAGGAGCAGGTGTCTCATAAATTTGTGGATGCAGTCACCATCCACCATGATTTTGGAGCCCAAGAAAATAGTTTGTCCAGCCATCCTGAGTCAGGGTAATGTTAAGCTAGTGACAGAAGCTCAGTCTTGATCTTATGTAAATCTCTATGGAGACCCCACTGCCCAACAAATACTAGCATATAACCAGGTCCTATTCTAGCTGAGTCCTGAGGCTTTGTAGACAAGACAAGACTAGTTCACGGGGATTGAACCCTGGTAGTGCTGGATGCAACAGGCCAGTGGTGAAAGTTCTAACCCTGTGCCTATCATATTGGTTAGGGTGGCATCATGCACCTGGAATGGGGATTGTCTTCATGTGGATTCCCCCAGGAGCAGAGCATGAGACAAAGATTTGGTCTTGGTGGGTTTATTTGGGAGGTAATCTCAGGGAGCAGTAGTGAGAGACAGAGGAAGGGAGGCAGGGGAGGTAAGGAAGCCCAATACTGTGTGTGTGTAAGCAAGTCACTTCTGTGAGTTATCTGAGGCTTAGTCCCATCAGAGAACTCTGGGAAATCGTGTAAAGCACATACCTCAGAGATTTCCCACCTGAGGGTCAAGATGCAAGCATCAGTCTGTGGTCAGAAGCTTCTGGGAGTGGTGAGAGGAGAGCACCACCTTCCTGGAACTTCTAGGGTGACAACAGGCCCCAGAAAGTAGAGAAAGCTCTCAGACAAAGAGATGCAGTTCTGGCAGATGGAGTCAGACAGGTGCACAATGAAGAGGTAAAGATGAGGGGGTCTGGATAAGGAATGACTGTGTGCACTGGAGATGGCCTCAGGCAGTCCAGCAGTGGAAGAGGAAGTTGGTTTTTCCTAATTGAAGTCAGTTGATGAAATTTTCGTCATCTCCATGTCTTGGGACCAGATGACACAAACTCTGCTCAGACTGTTTCTGGTTGAGGTACCAAGATACCAGATGACAAAGGGATCCTTCTCAGCATCCGCCCACCACCAGGCTATTTTTTTCCCACAGAGCTGATGGGCTGGGAATAAGATGGGGTCAGATTGTTGGTCACTTGACCTTTAGAGAAAGAGCATCTCCCAGGAAATCCTCTGTGTCCTTCCCACTTGTTTTC